TTAAAGAACCCACATCACGAGATTACTGTGATGTGGTCTGGCCTGTTTACTGGGAATTGGGGGGAGGGGGAATCTGTAAAAAATTCGCCTTTGTTGATTGTAAACTGCCACTGGCAGTCTGTTAAAGTCCCCCGCACAGGTTGTAAAGCGCCTTGAACATAGGATAAGAGCGCTATAGAAATAAAAGTTATTATTATTATTATTATTATTATTAGTTATTAATGTTATTATCGTTATCATGTAATAGAAAAACGAGAAATATTTACACAATTGAATATCATATATACTACCTCGCCAGGCTGGAGACCAGAACCACTTTTGACACTTTCCCCATTCACGTATAACCTCCAGTTTCCTGCGCCATTTTCCCACGTGACACAAATATGCTGCCACCCAGTCTTCCCAAAGAAGTTGTCATAGTCAACATGCCTATAATGCAGTGAAAATGGGAGAAAAAAATCATCTGATTCTGCCTTACAACATCGCCCCTGAATCACACATTAAGGTCACGAGAATAAAGGAAATGACCACCAACTAAAAAAGCTCTCGATTGTTTGACACATTCTTATTGTCGGCATCGTAGGAAATGTGAAGAGAACAGTTTGGAGAATATGGATACTGATGCTACGATGTAAGGGATTAAAATATGATTAACCTTTCTTACTCTCAACCTCGTTCCAGTATCCTCTCTCTTCCTCCCTCGAGAATTCGAAAGAGACTGGGGACAGGATGGTGTGATCCAACTCTATGGGGGGCCATAAAGTCAATTGAACTCGTAAAGGTAGTGACTTCACAGTATAGTCGCAATTACATCAGTAGAGGGGTATTTTACTCACAGAAATTTATTGTTGACGATGAAAGTGAACGACTCCGAATCGCTAAGTCTGGGCCGCATTCCGATGGCATTTAGCATCTCACTTGTTCTGTAGGTAAATATCGACATCGTTTCTGTTTGATTGACAGACACCCATACGCACGCAGTGAACGTCACTATGGTCTCGTCTGTAGTAGCGTCATAAAGTTGGACATATGACTTGCTGGTTTGCGATGCAAAAACATACTTGAAGTCCATATTTGGACCTGGAACAGAACAGCAATCTCTTCAGTGAACATTCATATTCATTGAGCATGGGGCCCGAGGTTTATAGGGGTTTCGCCCTATTGCAATAGTTCACCCTGATCACAGAGAGTTTACCCCATTTACTTAAACACCTTTTTCAAGCATCCAATGTCTTCACTAGTTCCCATTCCTTCAGCGGCTTCGACGCTCTTTCGGCGTCGCCGCCACCACTCACAACCTTTACAAATAATTTAGTTCCGCCAGCTGAAAAAAGAAGATTGTCAGAGCAAACACACATACATTATGTATTCTTTTTAACTTATTCCAAAAAGCCTAGTGCACTACACTTTATTGCGAAACCCCTTTCGAGAGGCATTGCAAAAATTGAAAATAGACTGAGTCATGGACCGAACTAGAAAATAATCAATCACGGAGACCAAACAAGTCAAGACTCGGCTAATATAACCTTCAGAGAAAAGAAATATTCCGATTATATTAGCAGTGCTACTTTAATAAAAATTCTAAAAAAATAATTTTTGTGGCATTAAAAATGACACGACCAGCCATTTATCACCAACCAAAGTGCTGCGTTCTGGGGCGAACGCAGGTGATGAAAAGAACAGTTGCGACCTTGTGGGCTCTTATTATTAGTGCCAGACTCCCAGCAAACCTCTCCCAAACTCGTCACAAATCTTCCCACGGACGGAAAGGCGCACGTCCTGCAACTCTATCAGGGACCTGGGCACTCTAACTACCATACAATCAGCAATACTCACGTGTCAGTGGATCCTGGGAAACGGGAAGAACTTCAACCTGACCTTAAGCCTGACTCTGTATGACGTCTTTCCAGATCACAGTGTTCCCATTCTCTGTACCAAATCCCGTTGCCATGTCAACCAGAGCCAAAGAATGCACCACGAAATTCCACACGTTTAAGTGACTCAAGAAGCCGACAAACGATTGTGACGCGACAAAACTTCCTCCAAGCCTATCCTGATCTTGACCGAGAATAAGAATCCCACCTCCGTGGATAACATCGCCATTCCTGTATCCGGTTTCTACTCTTATCAAAGAGCCATCTATATGAACCTTGAGGTCACCTCCATTGTTCGTCCACGTGACACAAGCATGATGCCAATGTCTTTCAAGTAAAGGAGCCCTGTATATCTGTCTAAAATGAAACGAAGAGAAGAGAGAGTCGGTTAAGTACGGCAACCCCTTCCCCAATCCCTCCACAAGGCTTAAATACCCTTCTATGGGGTAAGAGTCCTAAAAAGTACAATCTCCAGATATACCACATCACCTCAACAGCAGCAACATAGCTTGCGTAGGGTCGGTTTTGTGTGCACTTTGAAGCGAAAGTGGCTGTGCTACGAGAAGTTTAGGAGAGGAAATGGTGATAAAAACAACTGCAGTACGGCCGGTCTTTCTCACTCGCAGCATCGGATGCCCATCAATGCAATCCTGGTTCAAAACTTTTCCAGGAACGAACTAAGGCATTGACTTTTAATTTTTGACTCATTCCTTCCTCGGACCACTCGACACCAGCAGGCCTCAATCCTAGATCTTTTCATTAAGACTGATAGTTTCTAAAGAAACTGTTTGGGGCTGCGTCGGTGGGGGTAACGAAATAATTTGAATATATCAACAAAATTGAAATGGTAAATTGGCCACCGTTACGATTATAAAAGCTGACGTTTCGAGCGTTAGCCCTTCGTCGGAGCGAATAGGGGAATTGTGGGTTGTGTGTGCTTTTAAAGGCAGAAAAAGGAGCTACGTGATTGGTGGGAACATGGCAACGAGAAAAACACGAATAAATTAGTGGAATGAAAAGCGTTCGTTGATACCTGTGGGATTTAGACTGCCGGTTTGAAAGATGAGCTTTTGTTCAAGAGTTTTCCGGCTTTCCGTGCTACCTAAGTGTAAGGAAAGACCGCAGATTGCCATGTGTTGCTTAGAATGGTTAGGTAAATTAAAATGTCTAGCGACTGGTTTCGATGTGTCCTTGTCATTCCTCTCCACGTCGCGAAGGTGTTCTCGGAATCGGTCACCTAGTCTTCTGCCTGTTTCGCCGATGTAAATCTTTTTGCAATAAGTGCAAGTTATGCAATAGATTACATTGGCGGAGGTGCACGTGAAGTGATCGGTGATCTTAATGGATCGTTTGGGTCCCGATATTTTCTCAGTGTTGTGAATGAAAGGACACGTTTTGCATCGTGCACGAGCGCATTTAAAAGTGCCTGGTTGGTCATTAGTCTGAAAAGAACTTCTGACCAAAAAATTGCCTATGTTTTTGTCGCGTTTGAATGAAATGAGCGGAGGCTGCGAAAAGATAGTGCTTGTCTCTGGATCGTTTTGAAGTAATTTAAAGTTTTTAAGAATGATGGATTTAACTGAGTGGTTGTGAGGGTGAAACGTGAGAGTGAATGGAATGCGGTCGGAATCTTCCTTATGCGACGTTTGTAGTGCTGAATGTCGATCAATAAGTTG